GCAAACCTTCAGCGGGCTGTGCGGAACCATAAGACTCAGCATGAGGATGCCACACGGGCACTGGACGCCCGTGTACTGGACCTGGAACAGGCTGTACCAGGACCAGCTGTTGGGGCTTCCAGCAGTGCATCCTCTAGCCGCCAACTGGAGGAACGCGTTGACCACGTAGTGGCAATGCTAGGAGACATAAGTGCCTTCACAGAGCCGGCCACCATCAGCCAGCGGTTCGAGTTGCTGGACACCAAGATCAGTCATCAACAGCAGACCAACCACAGCCACAACAACAGCTCGGCGAGGCCATACAAGATGCCGACGTTCCGGATCGAGAAATTTGATGACTACACACATYAAGACCCGGTCGTCTGGTGGCAAGGATTTACAACGGAGTTGGGGATCCACGAGGTCCCTGACCATTTGTTCATCAGTGCTCTGTTCATCAACACCAAGGGAGAATGTCAGATCTGGCTCAGCCACATGGCAACCATCCACGGCGTCCAGGTTTCAGACCTGCACAAGGTCACCTGGGAGGATATGACAAAGGAATGGAAGAAGCGGTTCATAGTGGATGACGCACCCGCGCTCGCCATCAACCGCATCTTCGCGATGGCTCAAGGGAGCACACCGACACGTGTCAAGCTCACGGATTGGCAGAAGATCGTGGCCACGCCCGATCTGGACTTGCCATTTCCGCATCTGCGCCGTGAGTTCTACAACAGGTCATGCGCCGCTCTCAGCCTCGCACTTGGTGATCGCGAGCAGTACAGCACTTTCGCAAAGATCATCAACAAGGCGAGAGAGATCATCAAGACCAACAGGGCAGCCGCACATGAGAAGTCAACGTGGCAGCCAACCTATGTGGAGAAGGTACGAACTGGTCCGCGACAGCAGCAGTTCGCTGCAGTCCAATCGGAMGGTGGAGAAGACCCAGCAGCCACTCCAGCATCACGTGAGGGAGATCAGGTGGCTGTTGTCCAGCCGCGAAGCAACAAGCCCCGAGTGAACGGGAAGGCGAAACCAGCATCGCATTCCGGAAACGGACAGCCAACACCACCATGGGTCAAGTTCGGCTTGACCAAGGCCGAGTACAAGTACCGCAACCGTTACGGCTGCTGTTACTGGTGCAACAACACCAAGCACAAGACCTCCATTTGCCAAGGTCAGGCCAAGGAGGATGTGCGGCCTCGTCTTAACTTGGGAAACTGAGTTGCGCAGGAGGTGAGGCGACTCCACCTCTCACTCCGCCAGATTCGGCCGCCTTGCTAGCGGCCTCCTACACATCTGGGGAGGATGCGCATGTCGCAAGTCCTCGGTACACTTACGAGGATTATGCTGTCCACTTGGTCCCACCGCTGGACCAACTGCTCCACGTGCAACCATCTACCACATGCACGGTTTCATCACTATCGGCAACCGATTCGGCAGCTTCGCCGCTATCTATCGCCGGGGATTCATCGTCGTGGTCAAGATTTGAGGTGCTCGACCCACTGACGTTCACGGATTTCCAGTGGATGCCCGTTCCCCAGACCGGACGATTGCCGAAACCGCATTGCAATGTGCTCATGGCACAACTGCGAGATTACTTGCACACTGCAGTACCAGCTTTGTTGATGGACGCCGGAGCAGAGGTTGTCTACCTTCACGCTTACATTGCGAAGATCGACCGCAAGTTCAAGACGCAACGGTACGACGACATCGACGCACCATTGCTATATGTACGCATTCAGATCGGAGAGGCGACCTGCAACGCCTTGATCGATTGCGGAGCATCTCGCAACTACATCAGCCAGGACTTCATGGTGCGCGCCGGCCTTGGCCCACGTGTCCGGAGGAAGTCCCATGGGAACCCGGTCTCTCCATTGCCATGGACGTCACAGGTCCGTTTCCTCGCGACCGGCTCGGGCACGATGGCATCCTCACGGTTGTGGACCGATTGAGTAAGTACGCGCGTTTTCTACCTTACAAGTACTACTCCACGGCTCCCGAGCTGGCACACCTCCTGCACACTGGTTGGATTTGTGGCCACGGTGTACCAGAAGACATTGTCAGCGACCGCGACACTCGTTTCATGTCGGCATTTTGGACTGCTCTCATGCAGGAGTCCGGCACAACAATGAAACCAAGTTCAGCTCGACATCCTCAGACAGACGGGCAGACGGAGCGGCCACATCAAACCGCTCAAATGATGCTTCGTACGCTCATTCGTGTGGACCTGAAAGATTGGGTTGACCGCCTCCCCGACATCGAGTTCGCCTACAACACTTCGGTGCACCCGGCGATCGGCGTGACTCCATTCGAGTTGCACCACGGTGGACGGAAAGGCCGCATCTTCGCCGACCTTCTCCTCCCTCGACCAGCCGACATTGACGCCGCTTGCTCCCCCGCTTTCGTTCGGAAGTACAGGGACTTGCTGACTCAAGCCCGCGCAAATATGCAAAAGGCTCAAGTTCGCATGTAGCAGCAAGCCAACAGGCGTCGCGTACCATGTCCCATCCGCGCCGGTGATCTGGTTTGGGTCTCCTCGAAAGAGTTTGCACTGGAACAGGACGTTTCACACAAACTGCTTCCAAAGTGGTTTGGACCTTGGTCTGTGACAGCAGCCACAGGCGATGAGCCCGATGGTCCTTCATTTGTGATCAACATTCCAGAGCATCTGACGGTCCATCCGGTCTTCCACGCCTCGAAGCTGGCAACATACACGCCAGCCAAGAGCGACGACTTTCCGGGCCGACGATCGCAGGACCCTCCTTCTATGGATGGCCATCAGGAAGTTGACCGCGTCATCACCGATCGCAAGTACGACAGCAAGCCGCGGCAGTACAAAGTCACATTCAAAGCATGCGATCGCGATGACACTCGGTGGATTTCAGGAGCAGATTTGAAAGCATCCGCACCGCTGATCTACGCTCACTATGAACGTCAAAGGTTAGCCAAGGGACCTCCACGACCTGCCCCTCCCACCCKGACTGTGGTCCCTCCCTCAGACAGACAGCTTCGCCCTCGCAGGTACGCTCGGTCTTTCAAGGAGGGGGGGGTGTGGCAGACTGCGTAGCCACACGGGCCCTGTAGGACCCGTCCCGGACATTCAGCCTAAAAGCCTAAAACTTAGGAGCTACAGGCCCCGGTCGTTTCAGCCTGAAAACTGAAAAACGAGGGCCTGCAGGCCCTCCTCCGTTTCAGCCTATTTCTGGGTCTTTCAGACCCAGAGTTTTTCCAGCCTGAAACGGAGGGCTATTCTTAGGCCCTGGGCTATTTTTAGGCTTCATTTGTTTCGACCTGCCCTAAGATTCAGGCACGAAAACTGGGTTTCGGAACAGGCTATTTATGGCCTGTTCCCACGCCAGCTCGAGCAGGAGCTGCAGCTGCAGCCCCTGCCTCCCTGCGGCATTATTGGCAAGAGCACAAGCAGGAGCTGCAGCTGCAGCCCCTGCCTCCCTTCGGCATTATTGGCAAGAGCACGAGCAGGAGCTGCAGCTGCAGCCCCTGCCTCCCTTCGGCATTATTGGCAAGAGCACGAGCAGGAGCTGCAGCTGCAGCTGCAGCCCCTGCCTCCCTTCGGCATTATTGGCAAGAGCAGCCTCCTGGACTGCCGCCCGAGTCAGGAGGCACCCGTGATAGTACATAGGAGCTTCAGGCACTGAACGGGTAGGCAGTTGGAGAGTAGGACGGTAGTCTTCAGATTTCGGCCGCAGCACTCAGGAGGAGCGCTGCAGTAATCTTCAGCGCTAGGCAGTAGTAGTAGCACTAGTAGTAGTCTTCGGCGCTGGGCGCCCATAGCCATAGCTGTAGTCTTCAGCGCTGGGCGCTAGTA